CTGGTATTCTTTATAAACTGAGTAAAAAGGGAATTAGAGGAAAAGCCCTTAGGTGGTTTGGAAGTTATCTTTCAGACAGATTCATTACAACTAGGTTTGAAGGAGTTACTTCAAGTTTAAGAGGAATATCAAAAGTAGTGCCCCAGGGATCTATTCTTGGACCACTGCTATTTTTGATCTATATTGATGATCTTCCTCTTGAACTTGAAGGCAATGTTCGAATGTTTGCTGATGACATCATCTTGTTTAACCACCATTATGATCCTCGCGAGGCTACTCGGATTACTAATAGAGATTTAGATAGAGCTCATGAGTGGTCAGTAAGGTGGAATGTGCCCATGAACTTGAAAAAGTGCGAAGCAATAACCTTCTCATCTTTTCGAATACGAAAAACTGCTCTTTCTCTTCCTCCTCTGATACTGGCTAATCAAATTTTACCTGAAAATGAAAAAGTTAAATATTTAGGCTTAATTCTTTCCTATACTATAAATTGGAGTGTATATATTGATTTTATCTGTTCTCGTGCTGAATCGATAATTGGGTTAAAGAAGATGCATAAATATATTCTTAACAGACAAATTTTAGATATTATTTATAAATCATTTGTTTTATCTGTTTTTAACTATGGATCGATTTTATTCTCTTTAACTACTCAGAACAACATGGACAAGCTGGAGAGAGTACAATATCATGCTGCTCTGGTTACTTTAGGGGCTACGAAGGGATCTTCGACTGAGAAAGTTTTAGAAATTTTAGGCTGGATTAAACTGGAGGATTATTTTCGTTTGTCTATACTGAATATGTACAGTAAAATAGTTAGAAAAATTGCACCTGAATATTTACATTCTTATATTCAGCAGCATATACCTAATCAAAGATATTCACTTAGGAGTAATGATTTGAGGCAACTAGAATCAGTCGAAGGCAGACGAAAATCATTCTTCTATATTGTTACACAAGAATGGAATTGTATTTGCTATAAATATCATCTATGTAAACCTAAAGTTATGTGTGAAAGAATGAAAACGGAAATTTTAAATAATCAAACACTATCACCTTTTCCAAAAGATTTGCTGTTTTTGAGTAGGAAGGCGGAAATACAGTACATGAGATTGAAAACCGGAAATGTTGCTCTAAATGCTAATCTATTTAAGAGAAGATGTGTTGATTCTCCCTTGTGTGGTGTATGTTATGTAGAAGAGACGCTAACTCACTATTTTTTTGATTGTAAGAGATGTACTGTAGCCCGGACTAACATGCTGTTAGAACTGCACTTTTTGGCTACGGTTAAGACTAAGACCTTGTCGCTGGAGGACAAGGAGAGGGAGATGGACGTACAGATAGCGATTTTTAATGCCGTCAATAAATACATTCTCTTGACGTGGCGATTCATGAGTTAAACTCTCGCTGATATTTTTGATGAAATGAATTGGTTAAAAGTTATTGCCTTAAATGAATCCAATCCCCTTTTAACCCCCATTCCCCCGCCCTTCTCCTACTAACCCCTTTTCTTTCTTTTTTTTAGCATTTTCGATTATGACCTCATATTTATTCTTGTTATGACTTTCTTCTCTCTTTTAATTTCTTCTTCTTTTGTTATTTCGTGTTCGTTAATCTCTACTGCGTCTACATGGCTTCGGCCGCTGATGCTGATTCTTTTTTATTTTAATTTTCAAATAAAAGGTTTACACTACACTAAACGCCCAAATTTGTGATACGTATTTTTCTACTACACAGAAACGTTTGTAAACTGAAGAGATTACTTAAGAAATCCAATATGACTATAATAAATGGAGGTATGGCTTTAATCAATTCCCAATTTTGCGGTACATCGCCTTTCATTTGTATTTGCCAATCCCATAAGCTTTTTGAATAGATACGGTTCTGACATAGTGAACTCGTAAAACAGTTTGAACATGAACAAACCCATGTCGTATTTTGTTCAAAGCACTGACCATTGTTGACACAAAAATTTGTTATGCAGGGAATATTAGTTAAATTCATAGAGTATGTATTACTTTCACTTTCAAGCGTAAGCATATAAAAACGAAGTTTACACCCGATGATATCAAAGAAAATGGTAATGAATAGAAGCAATCACTTGAAAATGCATGCATATTTTGTACTTGTATATTTTTCTATAATTTTGTAAATGTACTTTTTTATTTTTCCTCAATACTGATTGAATCATTAAAGGAAGTGCATGTAAATGATCTCATGTGTTTCAAAAAAATTAAAATTATGCTCGTTACCACCTAATATCTTGTGTCGGAATTAACTTTTTGTTTCAAGTTTTATTCTCCGTTTAATCCATTAAAAGAAGTTTTTCTTTTTTTAGATCACCTGTCCGTTCACTCCAGCCTACAAATCTCGATTTTGTAAAATCCAACATTTAGATCCTTCTAATGATGTACAAGAAGCAACTGCTAATGTTGATTTAGACAGGTCGACTGAATACGACGAACCAGAAGCTCCGCCTGAACCATTCTTCGAAGATCCATTTGATCTAACTGATCCTGATGATCAACCACCAACAAAATGTAATACCGACAAAGAAACTCATGAGAAAAATCCAAGATCAGCGGCTGCTATTTTCAATTGTGGGATTATATTTGCTCTCTGCGAAATATATGGCTCAGAATCGACAAAACAATTGTATGCATTTATGGCTAATGTTGTAGACAACCGACAACATCATCTGCCAAACGTGTTAGCTTTTGATAATGCACGTAAATTTAGTCGTTTCGCAAGAAACACGAAAAAGAATATTAAATGTGTAACATAAGCGTCAGAAACATTAAAAAATATGGATTATGTTGTAGACAAATTCCATTTCGGTAATCATATTGATCCATGGTGTATTCGCAATATGGATCCGAATCTACATCCAGTGGCAAAAACCGTTAACACAGAAGCGTGTGAACAAGTCTTCAGCTGGTTATCAGGTTATAAAACTATGTTACGAGGCTGTAAGTACTCTTGTTTCACGTGGATTTTATTAAATTTATGTGAATTACGTCATGAGTTTAAAATTTATCAAAATAAAAAACACTAAAAATTGACTTAGGCTTACATTCGTATTATTAAATGTTTAACCATCTTATTTGTTCACTAATTATGTAAATTTCAAATCGAATTTCTTTATGTTTTCTAATGATTCTCTTTTAAAAGTTTAATTAGAGCAATTCTGATATATGTGAGTGGACTAATTCATAATTGTTTTACCTTTTATATACTGATCAATACGTATTCAATAAAATATGCTCAGATCATTAAAAATGTTTTTTTCAGCGTACTTGGACAACAACGATCATACTGCTTTTTTGTGCTCGAGAAAGGTCATTTCCGAAAGAGAAATGAAACGAAACTTAATCATGTAATTGCGTGTCATGAAGAGAGACTACCATGAAAGTGAATTTACTCCAGATACTTCATTTGATAACTTTTAACAACTACGAGAGCGGACAATGAAAACGCAACTTACCAGCGGATGGATTACCAATTATAATTGTATATAAGATAAAATGATTAATCATATCACTCCAGCTCGTAATTGTTGCATGAACACAAAAATGTGCTATTGTTGGTAACAAAACAGTAGTCAAGTACACATGATTAGTAGATAGACCAGAAGATTTGCATATATTTTCGGGAAGTTCATTTGTATTTGCATCAAAAATATCATTTGGATTCGTTACAAATATGGCAGCTTCTTGCATTCGACGTTCGATTTCATGATCAGTTAAAGGCTTTATTCTACTGCATGCCATTATGTTATAACGTAAAATTATTAAAATTTCTAAAACAAACTTGTTAGTACACTGCGCGATACAGAATATAATAATACAGTTTCGATGCTTTTCATGAAACATAACAATTTTTTCAGAACTCAAGAAAGAGAACTCAAAGTTGAGTTCTCTTTCCAGTGCGCTATAATTGAACGTAAATTCAATACTATCTCGTCTAGTGTACTCAGTCGGATTTAAGTTTCATTGTCGAAATTTAGTATTGCTCACGATGAGAAACTACATTCAGGAAAGGAATCCGGTCAATCAAAAGGGTGAACGTTCTTCTTTTCTTTTTCTGGACGAGAAAAATCAAATGGCCCATTGAACTGTTGAAAAGAAAAGTTTTGGCGATGAACATGTTTATTCTACGCAACAGGGAAATACAGTAACAAAACTATCAGAAATAATTTTCTGACAAATTGTCTATAGTTAAAAATTAATTCTAGTTCATATTCAATGAAACACGACGTTCATTAAAACTTAAAGTTGTTTAAATAGAAAACACAATAGTATGCTCCAGTGTATGACGCCATTTTTAATAGTTATACCGCTATTCCGTCCTTTTTCATCCGAATACTTTTTTGTCACACAATACTTTTGTTCTTTGGTACATAATACAGGATATGTTAATGTGGCAATAATATAACCATCATAGGTTCTTCTTGTATCGGTTGTTTCTGTTGTTACCAATGATTGTGCTTCGATGTTATTATCTGAACTGAAATAATAAATTTATAGCCGAACTACTACCAATATTTTTAAGCTTACCAACACAATCATGTGAAACTGGCGGACATTGAGCCGTACTTCCATTATATCCTATTGGCGGTAATGGTATTAAATCACATGAATCAGGTAGTATAGTAAGTGTTTTTTTGCCAACCACTTCCACCTCTTGATAATCCATTGGATGATAAACATACATGTCATAAGCAAGAAAAACTATATAAATTCTTCCGACATGTAATTCATGACAGTAACGCGACGAGCCTATAGCATAGCACATGCAAAGTTACGATTTAGTTTTTTATTCGGTTTTATACAGCACAAAAAACATCTTACTCCAGGAAAATACTAACCTTCATAAAAAATTGAGGTATGGAGCTGTGTTCTCTCATCTTACGGAACGCATATACCTTCAAATGTTACATTAGAACCGTATTTAGGCATTAGTTTACTAAACTAGAAATAGCTGGAATAAGGAAATGATATATGATGTATGACATAGAGTAAGAAAAAAATTGTTATGTTTCATGAAAAGCATCGAAACTGTATTATTATATTCTGTATCGCGCAGTGTACTAACAAGTTTGTTTTGGAAATTTTAATAATTTTACGTTATAACATAATGGCATGCAGTAGAATAAAGCCTTTAACTGATCATGAAATCGAACGTCGAATGCAAGAAGCTGCCATATTTGTAACGAATCCAAATGATATTTTTG